ACTTCTCCTCACCCTGATTCAGCCATGGGTCCGCCAAGATCTCCTCTGCCGAGAGCCTTGCTCTTGAGTTCTCTGACAGGATTTTCCTGATGAACCTTTTTGCTTCAGGGGACACATGCTGGGGAAATTCCAATTCAGGTTGGTAGTTGTCACTTGGGCAGTTCCCTGTCAATATAAAGTACAAAATGATACCCAATTGCCAAGTGTCCACTGCGGGGCCCTCCAGAGGGTGCCAGTATCTGTTCCGTCCTTGCTCAGGCTTGAGAACGGTGCTTAAGCCAAAGTCGATGATTCGGATGTTGCCTCTGGCATCCAGCACAACGTTCTGGGGCTTCAGGTCTCCATGCAAGATGTGCATCTTGTGGCAGTAGCACACCGCACAGGTGATCTGCCTGAAGAGTCTCCTGGCCTCCTCCTCCTCCTGCATGCCCCCAGGTGGGATGAAGTCAAAGAGCGATCCCCTGCCTCCATGCTCCATCACCAGGTAGACATATTGGTGGGTTTCAATAACCTGAAAGAGGTGGATCACATTCGGGTGGTTCAGGGTCTTCATCGCCAGTATTTCAGGGCAGGTCAAACTCCTCCAAAGTCTCCTTGGCAGGACTTTCACCGCCACCTCGGCCCCAGTGCGCAGATGGCGGGCTAGGATCACCTTACCAAATGCCCCATGCCCAATGTCCTTCAAGACCTGGTAATGGTCTGTGAAGGCCTTCTCCTGGAAGGAGCCAGGCCACTGTGGCACTACACTAAACTCACTACTCTTACTATGCATCCTAAGCAGGAACACCAACTAAGGATGCTAGCTAAAAACAAAATAAGAAACTAAAACAACAAACCAAAATCAAAAAACAAAACAAGACAAAACAAAAAACCCAAATCAAAGAACCAATTGCCAAAGACCACAATCACCAACCGCCAACCACCAAACGCACTAACTAGCTGGGAGTCCGACAGGTCACCACCAAGAGCTTCCTGTACTTATGGACAAAAACCCAGCCTCAGTCACTCTGTTATATACCCTGGGATTGAGACTCCCTCACAGTGGCTCCTTGTGAGCTCAGAGTAAGAAATGACCCAGTCATGCCTGGGCATCACCCACACTGGCCATGTCCTTTTGGGCCTACAGGACCTTTTCCAATTTCAGAGTAAGAATAAGAAAGGACTCCAGAAGCTTTTTAGTTCAATGGGTTATGGAAACTGATAAGTAATTTTTAAAAATTAAAATTTGTACAGTACTTAATGGACTTTCATTTCAAGTCTAAAAGTCTTGACTTTGGTGTTGAAAGACCTCAACATATCTACACTTAAGGTATTTAACTTCTTTTTCTTTCATCCAACACTCAGTATGAGTGTCAGAAAGTTGGTAGCACCTCACATCATGATAATGTAACAATGCTCTGTTCCCTAAGACACTCTAGAGCATTAGGCACACCTACAGGGTTGACAGGGAGGGAGGGCTCATCATAATTTCCCCATAAGTTCTTCATCAGATCTTTCATTAGAAACACTGCAGCAAAAAACACAGTGGATTGAAATACTCAAAGTGATAAAGGACAAAGCCTGGAAGCCAGGAATCCTAGAACCAGTAAATGTGTCCTTCCCAGAGGGGGAAAAAATAGAGATGACTGGGTACCTTAATGCTGCTGTAACCAAATACATTAGATTGGGTAAATCATTAGCAAGTTAACAAGTCCCGGTTTGGTAAATTCAAGGTCAAAGCTGTTTGTTGCTTTGTCCTCACAGGATGGAAGGGAAAAAGTGTGGGGAACCCCCAATACACACACACACACACACATTTTTCTTTCTTTTCCTTATTTTTTGTTTGTTTGTATATACCGGCAACTCAACCCATCAACCCAGAGCCACTCACACTTTAAGCAAGTGCTCTGCCACTGAAGTGCATCCCCAGCCTATTTATTGTGAGACAAGATCTCAGTAAGTTCCCCAGACTAGGCTTGAACATGTGATTCCCTCTGCCTCAGTGTCTAGAGCAAATACCAGCATGGCCAATTGTGGTTTAAATCTGAGGTGTTCCCTAAGAACTCCTGTGTTCATGCAGGAATATTCAAAGGTAGAATGACTGGATTGCCAGAGTTGTACCTTATCAGACCTTCCTTGTTTCCGTGGACTGTGTGTGAACAATGCTCTGTTCCCTAAGATACTCTAGAGCATGGTAGGCACACACTCTTGTTCCACGGTAGACACTGGAACAAGAGTGGAGGAGGTGGGTCAGTGGAGCCCTCCAGTAAGAGCTCTACCACTGAGTTACAACCCCAGGCCCCAGAAGAGAATATTTCTTTGAATACAGATCATGGGATCTTCTGGACACAGAAGAAGCCTAAAATATTGTTTTACCAGGGTAACTTACACAGACCCTCAGAGGCCGCTTTACTGTTGATTCTACACATAATACCTACACTTGTTACATTTCTGACATCAAGAACCAAGACAGACAGATGCAGATGGATATGAGCAGCATTCTCCATGTTACTGAAGTTTTGCTGCTGTATGTTCACATCAGACTGGTTTCTCTTTCTTGTGTTAAAGGGACCCTCTTAAGACACAAAGAAATCCCTAGAGAACATTCCCAAAATGAAAGGGATGGGAATTCAAATGTTTCACTACAAATATCAAGTGGATAGGAGAAAAGACCATTATAGAAGGGTGAAAGGCAGTTAATTAAGAGCTTGCCTTATTCTATGTATAAGACACAAGTTCCAATGAACTGGCAGCCTTGCCCACTGTCCTTATCAGGACACAAGTGCCACTGAATGAGCAGCCCGTTCTGCCTTCTTATAAAAGCCTAAGTTTCAGTGAACCAGCTGCCCATGCTGCTCTCCTTATAAGCACAAAAGGGCAACAGTTTTAACACCTCACCCTGATCTCCTTATAAGGAGGAAGCAAGTCACAATGAACCAACAGCTCATTCAATTCCCTTATGATCCAATCTGGGGTAATGACATCATAATAATGACATTCCCGGGGGAAAAAAATTTCCTTTTTCTTAGGTCTGGTGTTAGAATTTAAGCATGCTTTTTAGGGATATAATTCAACCCATATCACTATAACTATTTTTTCCAACAGTTTTTATCCATATATGATGTATTTTTGCCATGTAGTTTTTCTTTATTTGTCAGTGAAATCCATTATTTATAGGTTTTTCATATTTATTTCATGATGGAGTTTGGCCAACTTTGAGTTTCTTCCATTGTTTTATTTTGGTACCATCTTTTCTGGTTTAATGATCTGGTAATGCCAGCCTCAAAAAAAAAAAAAAAGTTGTGAATTGCTCCCTGCTCTTCTAATTCCTAGAAATGGTTGCATTGAATTGCATTGATTCTTCTTTAATTGTGTGGAAGAATTCCCCAGTGATATCATCTATACCCAAAGATTCCTTTGGAGATTTTTAAGTTAGGAACATAACTTCCCAATGGTCATTGGACTTCAAAGGTTAATGTTAAAGATTAATGTTCTAGTGGTAGTTCATGCTTTTCAAAATTTGCTTCATTTCATCCCAGTTGTAGTTTGTGTGTTCTGTTGTTCAGTCATAACTACTCCATTTTCAGTTACTCTCACAAAAATGACAAGTTCTCTGTAAGTGACTCAGTCTTGGTGTAAGTACCTGATCCCCCTGCCCCAGTGTCCCGAGAAGATAGGCTTATGGCATCTTGTGGTTTAAATATGAGGTGTTCCCCAAAAGCTGCTGTGTTAAGGCAGGAATATTCAAAGATAAAATGACTGGTTTGCAAGAATGTACTGAATCAGACCATCCTTGTTTCAATGGAATAACTGGGTGTTACCTGTAGGCAGGTGGAATGTGACTGTCGAGGTGGGTTAACCCTGAAGGTATGCTTCTTCCCTGTGTCTCCTCTCCCTCTTTCTGCTTCCATGTCGCCATGAAGGGAGCAACTTCTTTTGCTTGGCCCTCTCCCCATGATGTGTTACCTCAGATTGATCCCAGAGCAATGTTTTAGGCCATCTACGGACTGAGAACTCTGAAATCCTGAGCTCCAGATAAAATTTTCATCCCTAAGTTATTTTTGTTAAGTGGTGTAGTTACAGCACCAAATGAAGCTAACTGAAACAGAAATTGGTACTGAGAACTTCACTACATTTGCCCATGCCCTGAGACTCTGGGAGGATGCATTTTAAAACAAGGGACTAACTAATTTGGCAGAGGAAATTTCAGGACAGCACAGTATTCAGTTATGGCACGGATATTGCTAGCAGTCTTAGACTGATTTTGTAATGCCAGATTCTTGGGATCCCAATAGATTTCCAGGAGCCAAATCTGATGCAATCACACAAGAGTCTTTATTGCAAGCTCCAGCCTGGACTCACAACTGTTCCCGACGCAGTGGTCTCAGGGAGTGAGTACCAGACCTTTGTTCAGTGAGATTTTATAGGTTTTTTTGGGGTTACTCTATGCGTCACAACATCACACAGCAAATCATTTCACAAGGAGGGAAAATCAAACAACAACTCTTAACATTGATTAGCACATTCACTGGTGGGACCAAGTTGGGTAGGAGTGATTGATTAGTACAAGAGAGGGATTCGTTTGAACTGATTGGTTTAAGCCATGAGGGGTGTGTGTGCTAAACTACATGGTTTCCCAACATGTTATCAACCACCATAAACTACTGGGGGGTCATCTGGCATCCCAGGTATTTTCCCTGTATCATGCTGATTGGTGGTTGCTAGGGGGTTGCTATGGGTCCTCAACTAGCCTAACTGAGTCAGGGACACCTGGCGCTGCAGATCTATCCTGTTATTTGCAGACAAACAACTCAGCAGGGTGGGTAGGTGCCTAGGAGTGCTTGTTGGGTTTTTCCAAGGACAAGGGTCATGCCCCCTTCCTTGGATAGGCTTTGAGGTAGAAGCTTTTTTCAAAAATGGAGTCACATCAGTTTCTCAATTTATTCTGAGAATGGGAGAGGAAAGCAGAGCTAAAAGAATTTTTTTAAACTTATAAGTTGGAGAGATTTGTGGAAAGTAAGTAGGTGACTGTGACCATTTGCTCTTGGTAAAGTGGCCATTCCATCCTAAGATGTTTCCTTTTATGTCTGTTAATAGCTGCTACCTGCTAGTTTCAGCTTCTGTAATCATGCTTGCCCCGCAGGTGTGGAAGGAATGAGAACTGCCTGGAGAAGAGGGGGGGGGGTGCTAAAACAAGGATACTTGCTTGAGAAAGTCTTGAAACCCAGAGATCTGTACTGTACAAAAGATACTGAAAACAAAAATCTTGCCCAGACTTTGGGAAAGACTCCACTGAGCTCACATTTGTGCTGAAGAAACTTGCTCTTCTCCATCTCCAAGTGTTGCTTGTCTCTTTCCAATGCCATCATTTTCCATATTTTCCCCTATTATCCATAACATTGGTTTTCAGACATGAGAACTTGGTGCTCTACAAGGCCATTCTCAACACTGGAATCCACACACAATGCTGATGATAACAGCTCTCACCAAATTATGCTCACCATTATGTCAGCTCTGATCCACATACATTTCATTTACAACTCATTTACTTTCCACAAGTACCTCTCATGGCAGATGCTATTATCTCCCCCATTTTATTAATGAAGAAAGTGAGACAGAAATAGTTGAATAATGTGCACATGATCATAAAACCAGTGAATGCAAGACCTAGGATTGAAATTCAATTGTTCTGAACCCTGAGGCTCTTCCCCACCCTGCTCTCCAGCTCCTCCATGTCTCAACACACAGTCACAGCAGCAAAATTACAAATTACAATTATCTTTTACTAGACAAAGGTGCACAAAAACATGCATTGGAGAAAAGATAACCTCTTTAACAATTGGTGTTGGGAAAACTGGAAATCCATATACAACAAAATGAAATTAAACCCCTATCTCTTACCATGCGCAAAGCTCAACTCAAAATGGATCAAGGATCTAGGAACAAAACCAGATACCCTTCGTCTAATAGAAGAAACAGTAGGCCTTAATCTCCATCATGTGGGATTAGGCCCCAATTTACTTAATAAGACTCCTTTGGTGCAAGAATTAAAATAAAAAATCAATAAATGGGATGGATTCAAACTAAAAAGTTGATTCTTAGCAAAAGAAACAATCTGTGAGGTGAATAAACAGCCTACATCTTGGGAGCAAATCTTTACCCCTCACACTTTAGATAGAGCACTAATCTCTAGGTATAAAAAGAAGTCAAAAAGCTAAGCCCCCCAAAAACAAATAACCCAATTAATCAAGGACCTGAACAGACACTTCTTAGAAGATGATATACAATCAATCAACAAATATATGAAAAAAACATTCATTATCACTAGCATTTAGAGAAATGCAAATCAAAACTACTCTACGATTTCATCTCACTCCAGTCAGAATGGCAGCTATTATGAATAGAAACAACAAAAAGTGTTGGGTGGGGGGAAAAAGGTACATATATACATTGCTGGTAGAACTGTAAATTGGTGCAACCAATATGGAAAGCAGTATGGAGATTTCTTGGAAAATTGGGAATGGAACCACCATTTGACCCAGCTATCCCTCTCCTTGATCAATACCCAAAGGACTTAAAAACAGAATACTACAGGGACACAGCCACCTCAATGTTTATAGGCAGCACAATTCACAGCTAAACTGTGTAACCAACCTAGATGCCCTTCAATAGATGGATAAAAAAAAATGTGGCCTATATACACAATGGAATATTACTCAACAATAAAAGAATTTGCAGGTAAACGGATGGAGTTGGAGAAGATAATGCTGAGTGAAGTTAGCCAATCCCCAAAAACCAAATGCTGAATGTTTTTTTTTTCTCTGATATAAGGAGGCTGACTCATAGTGGGGTAGGGAGGGAGAGCATGGGAGGAATAGATAAACTCTAGATAGGGCAGAGGGATGGGTGGGAAAGGGAGGGGGCATTAGGTTAGCAATGATGGTGGAATGTGATGGACATTATCATCCAAAGTGCATGTATGAAGACACAAATTGGTATGAACATAATCTGTATACAACCAGAGATATGAAAAATTGTGCTCTATATGTGTAATAAGAATTGCAATGCATTCTGCTGTCATATATAAATTAAAAATTAATAAAAAATGTGTTGCTACCAAAAACAAAACAAAACAGAGTGGTGGAAATGAAGATGAATGAGGGATGGGGAGTTGTCTTCCCTCTGCTCATTCATTTATTTTCCAATATGACAAAGTCTAGATATATGGGTCACTTAGAGGCAGGAGCTCTTGCAGTCTATGCAATTGCTGTGGATTAAATGTTTGTGTCCCCCACAAATACCCATGTTGAAATCCTTACCCCAAGGTAAAGGTAGTGGGAAGTGGGTCCTCTGGAAAGTGACTAGGTCATAAAGGCAGAACCCTCACAAAGAGATTAATGCCCTTACAGAAGAGGCCCCAGTGAGGCCTTTGCCCCTTCCATGATGTCAGGACCCAGTGAGAAGGCAGGAAGCACACCCTCAGAAGACAATGGTCATTTAAGGAGTATTCATCTGAAGCTGGTCATCTGACCCTTCAAGGTTGAAGACACCAAGAATAACTATGGATCCAGGATTTCCAGGGATGTCCAACTGCCAGGTAATAAAGCATCCTATTCCAAAGCCCTAGATTGGTGCCTAGAAGCCTCCAGTCATTCTGTAAACCTGCAGTCACCCTGATTCCAAGAACAGCAAAACCTCACAGATAGATAATGCCCCTAAGTTGGAGCAGTTACTCCAAAACACAGGAATCATCTCATGGAAACCCAACTACTCCTTTAAGTGATGACAATAACCTCTCTAGACCTCAAATAAATAGACTTGAGGTAGTGATTACCCACACAGAGTTTGGTCAAGACTGCTTAACTATGCACACCTCTAGCCACTGCCCCAATTCTTCCTCTGTTTAAGCCTGAACCTCTTGTCAGTATCCCCAAAGACAGGGTCCCCTTATCTTCTCAGTTTAGCTCTACTGATTCAACTTCCTTTCCTGCCTTCACCACTGCTCTTTGATTGGCATCTTGGGACTGGTGGCAGAACCTAGTATGTTGGGACCCCTGGAGTCTTGGCCTTTGCCTAAAACTCTCATATAACAAAGGCTCTGAATAAGAATCTGTTCTATGCCTCTCTCCAAGCTTCTAGTTGCTGGCAGCAATTCTTGGTGTTCCTTGGCTGGTCAATATGTCACCCAGTCTTGGACTCCACCACTCTCTGTGCCTTTTGAGTCTATATCTCTGTCCCAATTTCCCTCTTCTTATAAGAACACTGGTCAATGGATCAAGGCTCATCCAAATCCAGTATGACCTCACCCTAATTTCATTACATCTGCAAAGATCCTAGTTCCAAATATGTCAGTCAAAAGTGCCTCGAGTTAAGAACTTCAATATATTTTTGGGAGGGACAATTCAATGCACAATAGTGCATAATATTCATATTATAGATTGTAAACTGAGACAATCTATCCAAGTAGTTTACCTGGGGATATATAAAATAGGTGGTTATGACTCAGTTTTTAATCTTTCTATATCTGATTATTTTTACTTATTAGGACCTTACTTATAGTAGGCCCTCTGCTGTGTGATTTATTTCCATTTCTAATCCTCAGATCAACTGAATATAATTATTATCCCTCAATTTTATAAACAGAGCTCAGATCACTGAATAAGCTTAATCAGAAGTTCACAGGTAGGAAGCAGTATATCTGGGACTCAATCCAAAGTCCTGGCTAGTAATTCTCACCCAGATCAACAGAGCAGAATACCTTTGGGAGGGGCTCTCTTCTCACCCCACTCACTGTCTCAAGGTAACAGAACTCTCTTCCTGCTGGTGAGAATCACAACTGTAAATGAAACCTTACCAGAACTGTCCAAGGGAGGAGTGTAGAAACAGCAAATTAATCATTGAGGATCACAGCACTGCAACCCAATGCCTCGTGCGTGTGATGATCTGATGGGAAACATTAGTATTCATCTTCCTTCCAGCAGTCAAAGGAGAGTTGAAAAGACCACCAATGAGTAAATCTCACTAAGCAGCAACATATGCCACAATTAATTACTTCCCTACTGAGTGCTGCACACGTGCTGTGGATGATTTCTGTCCAGATGCTTCAAACAAGCCTGAGCCTCAGTAGCTCCATTAACACAAGGGAACAATGGGAAAATACCCAACCCCATGCCAGGAACAGAGGCTGGATTAGCACATATTAGAGTTGGATTTGCTCATATTATCTCAAACACACCCCACAGAAGCTGAGGCTAGGAACACAAGCTTTGGAAGTAGGCAGACTTGAATGCCAAAAGTAGTTCTAATATGCACACCTCTGGTGGTAGAGACCACTATGCACTCCTGTACTATGCAGAAGAACAAAGTCCAATTATTTCTCTTCTATAAGCCTCAGTTTACATACCTGCAAATTGGAGATATTCACACTTGCCTCAGAAAGCTATTCCCAGGAATATAAACATGATTCTGACCCTTGATTCCCATGAGGGAATATGAGCTATGGATAGAAATGAGTCAGTAGTTAAATTTGACTTTATTATTCTTATGTGTCTAAATTTCTATTTGACATATTTGTTCAAGTAATAAATGTGAACAGAGCTTTGGCAGGAGGACAGGAGATGATGAGAAAACAACTGAATGAGAAGACCCAGACTGACAGAAATACACTCATTTCTTTCAATAGTCTGAATAAAACTCAGAGGGATGGATAGGGGTAGGGGACAACCTGTAGCACTTCCCTGACTGCCTGGCTGCTTGAGAAGCTCATTCAGAGGAGGTGTAGCCAGGACATGTGGATGCCAGAGAATATAACACTCAAGCCCTAGAGCAAGAATCACTTGGACTGAAGATGCCCCAGGAAGGGACATGGGGCTATATCCCTTTCCATATGGGTGAAAGTATGTAGGAAATAGAAAAATTAGGAAAAAGAAGTTCACAAAAGTTTTTGATTCATTTAATTTTATTAATTGATGTCTATGATTTTAATGTTATTGCTAGAACCATGTTGTTCATTAAGAGTATTTACCCACAGCTTATTTAAGTCTTCAAATACCTCTGTTTCGTTTTGTATCTATGAGGTAATATCCCAAAGAGCAGGGATGAAGTTCTACTTACTTGTCTCCCTTGACGTGGCATGAATGTGGACCAGCCATGCCAAACAGGCTGAATGTGTGCTGCGGGAACACTGCCATCTAGAGGCAACAACTTGTAATTGCACCTCACCTAGACCTGCATGCACAGGCTGTGTAATAGGTATACCCTTTCTAAGCAAAGCCTGGAATAGGTATGTAAGGCTAACACAATTGCAAAGTGGCATTTAGGTAGAAGTATGTTTATTGAAGAAAAAATATATGGAGCAGACAGATTTCAGGTTTCATTTCTGTTCACTGAAAGAACCAGTTTCACCAAACAAGCTTTAAAGGAAGAGGAACTGAATAATTCATTTTGTCAGTTACAATTTATAAAAAAGGCTCCAAGATTAACTAAATACAACTATTACAATACAATTTAAGAAGTGCCCTTTAAAAACTCTTAAATAACCCTAGTAGCAGCAAAAATGTCACACATGTGCACACCAGTATGTTACCATATGTAAACATGTATTAGTAACAATATACTTAATAACAAAAATTATGCATTTTTAAAATATTAAATATGTACATATATGTTTATAATAAAGAGAAATCTGGGCCATATTTTTTCATAAATATACAATTCCTGATACCAAAAACAAAGTGACAATAATACACACAAATGCATTTTATCATAAGGCATGTTGAACGACAGTTCACAATACTCAAGGGGCATCATGTGGCTGCAGAGGGCAAACTTTCCAAAAGTCTCCGCCGAGTAGTGATCCTTGCACACCGAGGGCACCGGGATGACTGGAAGCACTGTTTGTGAAAGCAAGCCCTGCATGCTGCAAGCAAGACAACACACCATCTTGTTTTCTCGTATGTGAATGATGCTCATTCCCATCCCAGGGAGGCAGGGATCTAAATCAGAACCCAGAGTCTTGCAAAAAGTAATCAGCCAGGTTAAAATTCACACGTGTTATAAATTACCTGACAAGTCATGAACATGATGCTCACAGAGTCTAAAGAACATAGAAGATGCCATACAGTGTCCCCAGATCTGCCCAAACATGTGGCAGGGGTTCCCCAGCCTTTGAGAGAATTGGTGGCTGAGGACCCTTGGGAGGTGGCACTGCTTCTCTGGAAATGGCCCTAAATGGAGAGAGCTGCTTTATTCAACATCATGCCCCCTTCCTGGCAACAGCCTGCATCCAGTGACTGGTCACTGTGGAGTGTCTGACCCAGCCAGCTCTCTGTCCCCAAGTTGGAACAATGATGAAAGGCCACCCAGGCTCCAGAGTTCCCCCACTGGATGGGCTTGAGACTTGAGTGCAACCACAGGACAGGTGAACTTTTCCCCCTGTCTGATCCTGTTGGCTTCATGTCCCCCACAGAGATATTCTGTATGGAAATTTCTGCCTCTCTTGATGGGAAACCTGTCCTGCAGGCCTGCAACACTGCTTAAAGGGTAAGGGGAGACAACCCTGGGATGGCCTAAGTGGAGAATGTACCCATAAAAAGGGACATGTTACTAAAATCTCTCTTGATAAAACATGAATCCAGAGTACAGGATTCCCTTGGGCACTGATATCCTAGAATAAACACCAGCAACCTTTTCTGTAAAGAACCACAGAGTAAAGGTTTTAGGCCTGGGGGGCCACATGGCCTCTATAACAGCTCCTCAACTCCACCAAAGTAGCACAAAAGGAACAGGAGATAACAATTCATGATTCAATTACAAAACAGGGCAAGCCCAGGCAAAAGCAGGAACATCTCCTCTACCCAAAACCCCAGCAGACCTTATCCTTTATCCCTGCTCCACCAAATATTCCTCCCCATGGACCCCAAACTGGGTCATCTCCAACCCACCACACAACCACACTGCACTTTTAAGAAAAACCTGTGCCCAAGTTATTAAGCTATTATGCAGCTGAAGTTAACTCTGTGATTAAGTCATTAAACTTAAATTTGCAGCTAAGCTAAGTGACTACTAAGTTTCTGCTAGTTATTAAAATACCTGAACATCTTCTACAAGTTGCCGTCTGAAATGGGAAGATGACAGTTGTACTCCGGCAAAATTCACAAATGAAGCCCTTTCCCTGACAGAGCTGTAAAAGAAAGCATCAGAAAGTCAGAAACTGGAAATGCTTCTCTTGACACAGAAACTGAGTTAGCAATTTTACAGAACTTGATAATCATCAATTTTGGATGTCTATGATTTTAGCTTCTAAAAAACTAGATAAGAACAATAACAAAAAAAGGCACATAACATCCATTTCTCACCAAGTCAGTTTAAAACACAGAAAGATCATGATTTTAAACTTTGTTTATTTGTCCCTCTTTCTGAGACAGACTCTTGCTAGCTGCCCAGGCTGGCCT